GAGCGGGCTGCGCGCAGGGAGACCTTCCGTTTTCTTCCCCGCCGGCCGCGCGCTCCGCAAACACCCCGGCGGCTCTCCCCCCGGCGCCGCGGGAGCACACGCCCGCCAGGCAGGGTGCGGGGTACCTGGGCATCGTGCTTCGCAGCCCGGGTCCGGCTCCGCGCGGGGCGCGGGTAGAAATCAGGCCGCAAACTCTCCCGGTGGGCCCCGGGGCGCGGGCGCCTCGGTTGCCATGGGAGCGACGTCACGGGCGGGTTGCGTGAGGAAGAAGGGCTTCATGGGAAATGTAGTTCTCAGCACTTCTTCAAGTCTCAAGCTCAGCCTCGTCCCCAGGCAGTGAGAAGGGGGTGACGCGTGGGAACAAACCCTGCGACCTGAAAGTTCTCTCCTGGAAATGTTCTCTCATTTAAAAAAAAATTCTACTGAGTACTCAATATGCCAGAATTCCCTCCCCTCCGCCTGGTTACTTTTCTCTCCCCGGTAACAATACTTTGGGAGGAGAGGGAAACAGCCTCCCGAGCTGCGGTGAGAACGTGAGGCCGACGCAGGGCGATAGGAAGAGAAAGCGCTGGCGCAGGTCTCACGGCTCCTCCCGAGGCTCGGCAGGTCTTCACCTGTCTTGTGACCTGGTTGTCCTCTCTCTGGGAGGCATCCTAGTATCCTTGTAGCGAATTTTTTCTTGTTTGTCTAAGTTGGTGTGAGTTGAATTTTGGAATTTACAACAAAAAGTGCTAACATAGTTACTGGACAGCAGAAAGTGGGGGCTTGGGGAAGGGAGAAAAATCAATGTTTCTCTCTTGGGTGACTGAGGAGCCGATGATTCTATTAGCTAACTGTTGGGGGCACAAAATAGGAGAACCAGGTTTAGAGGACATGGTGAATGAGACACCTTCTAATAGAGGGTCAGGCCATTTGGAATCCATTGAATTGGGAAGTTACAAGGTCAATGGTAACCTTAAAGAAGTTTCGGCAGGTCGTAGTCAGTGGGGTGTTACACCAGTGTTGATGATACTGCATCCCAGGGGAAAATAATCTGATAATCTATGCATAATCCAAAAGCCAACACATGTTCTTAAGGCTCCCTCCCCCCTCCCTGAGCCCTTGGTAACCACCTTCCTACTTTCTGTTTCCATAACTTTGGCTACTTCAGATATTTTATATGAATGGAATCATAGAGTATTTGCCCTTTTGTGATCGGCTTATTTTGCTTAGTATAATGTCCTTGAAGTTCACCCATGTTATAGCATATGACAGGATTTCCTGCTTCCTTTTTAAAACTTATTTAAAGATGAAATTCTTATTTTTATAAAGCATGCATTAATAGAATTTCCTTCTTTTTAAAGGCTGTATAATATTCCATTGCATGTATATACCATATTTTTATTATCCACTTATCTGCTGATGGACATTATTGTTGCTTCTACCTTCTGGCTGTTGTGAATAATGCTGTGATGAACATGGATGTGTAAATCTCTTAGAAATCTTGCTTTGACTTATTTTGGATATATACCACGAAGTGGGGTTGCTGGATCATATAGTAATTCTATGCGGAACCTCCATACTGTTTTCCATAATGGCTACACCATTTTACATTCCCACCAACAGTACACAGGGGTTCCAACTTCTCTGCATCCTTGCCGACACTTATTTTCTGTTCTTTTGATAGTGGCCATCCTGATGGGTGTGATATCTCATAGTAGTTTTGATTTGCATTTCCCTAATGATTAGTGATGTTAAGTATCTTTTCCTGTGCCTATTGGCCATCTGTATATCTTTGTTGGAGAAACATCTATTCAAGTCCCTTGCCCGTTTTTAAATCAGATTATTTGGGTTTTTATTGTTGAGTTATAACTATTCTCTATATTAACCCCTTATCAGATATATGACTTGCAATTATTTTTTCTTACTCTACAGGTTGCCTTTTCACTGTTTTTTTTTTAAAGTGTGCAGAAGTTTTTAAGTTTGGTATAGTCCCATTTGTCTATTCTTTATTTTATTGCTTGTGCTTTTGAAGTCATCTGATTTTAATAAAGCCACCAGTATATCCTAGCAACATCTCCTTCAGGAACAAATGCCACCCCCATTCACCCTCCCCCCACTGATTAGAAAATTATGTTAGCAAAGTGCCAGAAGGAAGAGTGAAGAGTTCTCTGTATTCAAGTACTGTGAACATATGTGTCTTGTGTTGGAGTTGTTTGCTAATAGATATTGCCCTAGTAAGAGTTTTTGTTTCTTGTCTATTACTGAATGCTAGAATATTTAAAGCATACAAAATGAAGATTTTTGGATTGATGTTAATTATAAATATGCCTCTGGAATCATTGTGACTGTGTTCAATTTAGGTAAAATTATAATATGAAGCAAGTATGTATCTCCTGTGCTCATCCCAGCCTCTGCCCAGGCCCGTCCAACTCCTCACTGTAGGACTGACCTTCCCACTTAAATGCCCAAGAAAAGCCAGAGTCTTGGTCCCACCGAAATATGGATGAATCTCACTTCACCCTAAATATCTATGTGTGGACTTTACATTAATTTGGAGTTTAAAGTTACCCATGTAGCAGTAAACCCCTTTCTTCTTTTAGGGAAAAGAGAAGTGGTGGGAAACATGAGAGGAGATGCGATTTTTACATGAACCACGTGGCAGAGAAATTTCTCTACTCTGTTATTCCTGCTCCATCTCTCCCCCGTTTCAGTCCCCACAATCCTGGAGCCTTGACTCCACAGGAATGAGCCCAGAGACTGCACTGAGGGAGTCCAAATTCCATGGCAGCGCAGGGGTGGGCGCCTGGGTGAAATGTGTTCGTGGCATCCCAGGAACACTGAAAGCCTTTTTCTAGAGAAATATGGTTATCCATGGTGGTTAATGATTCAGGATTATACTTCAATACAATTATGGGTTAAATGTGTTGTTCCAGGAACCTGACCACCATGTAGTTTTTTCCTGTAAAAATCTCCCAAACAACCAATAAACACAATTTTAGAACATAGACTCTGTAAG